TCCTCTAACATGGGTACAACGTTGATCCTCTCTAGCTAGACACCCCGCTAGGAGCCGAAAAGAAAAGGTACACCGCCGAAGAACGTTTAGACCGTGACAAGGCTGAGGCCATCGTGGCTAAATTCCGAGACGTGTTCGAGCTAGCACAAGCGAGCATGGCTGCAGCGCAAGCTGAACAAGAAAAGCAGACTAATAGGCACCGGAAGGAAGCAAGGAATTATAAGGTCGGCGATAAGGTTTAGCTAAAACTCGACAAGCAATACCAAACAGGCCGTCCGTCACGAAAATTAGACTAGAAAAGCGCTAAATACACGGTAATTGAAGTAATTGATAGCCATTCAGTCAAGCTAGACACCCCGAGAGGCCATCACCCTGTTTTCCATGTCGACAGATTACGCCTAGCAAACTCCGACCCACTGCCTAGCCAGGTTCAGGACGACTACCAGCCACTACCGCTACAGATCGATGGTAAGGACGAGTGGGTAGTGGAGGAGATCTTGGAAGAGCAACTGCGACGCCGTGGACGTGGATGGAAACTGTACTTCGACGTCAAGTGGAAAGGATACCACCAGACAACCCTCGAACTAGTAGAAATCCTAGAGAATACAGAAGCCCTAGATCGATGGGAAGAATATACGAGAGAATACCGAGACGAAGAAGGACGCCTACCAGAAGGGTTTCGACGAGATACCCCCTAAAAAGGAGGGGAGGAGGGGGGTAATGTGATGGGCTGGAGCCTAGTTGGTGAGTCCTCGATGATATCTCGGTCACGTGCGCGAGGCGCACTGTGCACAGATTCCGGGTGCCCCCCCTGAGCACCCGGATTCTGTGCAAGCGAGCCCGGCGGAAGGTTATCCCGAGCCGCCGCCCCCTGAACGACCTTCAGAACCCTAGCTACCTGTAGTTCTCTTCTCTATCGAATACAACTCCAGTATACCTGTGCGATAGCTCCCCGAGCGTAGCCCCTTACACACCTATCCCTCCTGCCTGCCGCCCCCGTAACATATCTTCTCTTCTTACTACCTTTATAATACTTAGCCTCTACTATCCTATGTTATATTATCTAGAGTTTAAATAACGTGCCCTACTATCGAGATGCGCACACTATTAAAATGCGCACTCTGCTAAGCCCCTACTACTTTTAACTCTCTATTACAATGTCTTAACTACTAAATCTTAAACTACTTTCTACTAAAGATAGAGTTATCTAGGCTATCCAAGCTATGAAATCTAACGCGTCGCTTACCTAGCGACAAGCCGCGCATCGCTACGATATACATAAAAGCACTCTCCGCAATTAACGCGCTAAGAAGGCTTTACAACGCGATACTTAACCTAACTGATTAAAACTCTAGAGACATAAAGAGGAGGTAATTATATAATATATAAGGAAGCTTAACGCGCGAGGCTTCGCCCCTACGCTTAACTATGTGCGAGAAATAGCTAACTAACTACTAGCTACACGTAGTAGTAGCTAGGTTAGAGAAAACTAGACCTACAGGCTTGTACGCTAGAGACCTAAGATTAAATCTTAGGTAACAAGACAGCGGGATTACTAGAGAGTCCTCTGCAGCGACCTAGCTATTATTAGGCCCTAGTTTAATCTTGTACACAACGTTAAGGCTAAGTATAGGATTCTAGATAAAGACGTCTATAATTTTAATAAGACTAGCTTCTAGATAGGCGTTAGAGGGTCTGTTAAGGTAGTAACAGCCTCTAAGAGACGTCTTAAGCTACTTAGTGTTTAGCCTAGCGATCGTAAGTAGGCAACGCTAATTGCTAGCATTAACGCGATAGGGTAGTCTATCCTACCCTTTTTTATCTTTAAGGCAAAGAACTATAACTAGGCCTAGTATCACAACCCTAAAGATTAGAGGATAAGAGTTAGTAAGAATAGCTAGATAATAAACGAGCTTAGTCTTGCATAGCTGCAGCACTTTATCTAGTATACAGAGGCTCGCACAGTAGGTAGTTACTAGCTGCTTATTATTAATAGCTATAAGAGCTATAAGTCGCTCGCCTTCTAGGATCTGTGTAAGGAAAGCAATATTATTACCCTCTGCATGCCTCTACACTTATCGCACATCCTACAGCTACTTAATGTAGGTTGTTTTGCCCCGCTAAAGCAGGCGTATAAGAAGGAAGTTAGGGGCTTAGCAGACAGCTACATCTACTACATCGACAAGAAAGCCTTCCTAGCTGCCTTTAGGCTAATATTTAACAAGGCGTTCTTAAAGAACAATATCTTATTAAGCTTTCGAGCAACTAGCTTAGTCCTACATAACCTAGATGTAGTGTTATCTAGGCTTAAAGTACAGCCTCGTACGCTAACACTACCTGCATTAGGGCCTACCCCTTAGGAACCTAAAACACTAAGTAACGCCTAGGAGATAGAGGCTTAAACAACGCTGATTGTTAAGAGGATAACAGATTACAAGGAATTATTACCTAATTCTATTATTAAGATAGTGTTGCAGGTTAAAAAGGGATTAACTTTAAAGGTGCACTTACACACGTTGCTAGAGGCTAGAATAGCTAACCTTAAGGAGGCAAACTAGGCAGCATCTAAACGTAAAAAGCGCAAGAAAAAGCAAATCCAGAAGGGAGGGACCCTATTGCAGGCAGAGGCAGAGGATATAGTTAAGCAAAGGGATGTTAAGATCTAGTTAGAGGTAGAGAGGCGTTAGGAGAGGGTGCGCGCAGGTGGTAGTGCAAGAGGTATCTAACGCTGCAAGAACTGCGGCGAGGCAGGACATAATAAGCGCACATGCAAGAAAGATACAGCAGAAGTAGAGGATTAATTCAAGCTATTAAACGCGTAGATAGCTTGTTGTAGTGTTGAGTTATTCGCATGCGAACATGGATTGCTGTATTTCGTGCGCATTTTGATAGTGTGCGCATCTCGATAGTGGGGCACGTTAAGAATTAAAGAGGTTAACGTGGTTTACAAGCGAGTGACGCACCCAAGCGAGTGACGCACTTTTGCCAAGACCTTACCAAACTTCAATTAAGTCGTAATGCCTTAACGCAACAGCGTAAAAATGATCTTAAACGAAGCAGATATACAGCTTGCGATACAGGCTATCTAAAGAGACGCGACACTAACGACGCGACGCGCTAGAGCTATCTATAGCGTCTCTGAAGCAACACTACAAAGGCGACTCGCTAGGACGCCTCAACGACGCGATCGCGCGCCTAACTTAATAGCTCTTCGAGGATCTAAAGAGGTAGCAATTGTTAGGCATGTTCTTAAGCTAGTAGAGCAAGGATATCCGCCTAGGCTCGCTAACGTTAAAGAGATAGCTAATTCTTTGCTTAAGATCTGTAATTAGAAGCTAGTTAGCAAGAAGTAGGCTGCAAACTTCGTAAAGCGTCGCCCTAAGCTTAAAGTTAAGTTTAATCTAAAGTACGACTATAGTAGAGCCCTCTGCGAGGATCCTAAGGTTATACAAGGCTAGTTCCGCCTAGTACAGAATACGAAGGCTAAGTACGGCATCTAGGACAAAGACACGTACAACTTTAATAAGACTGGCTTTATAATAGGCGTAATATTAACTAGCTTAGTAGTTACAGCAGCAAACTGTTAAGGACGGCTAAAGACAGTGCAGCAGGGCAACTAGGAGTAGGTTACAGCTATCTAGGGCATAAACGCGACGGGGTAGGCGATTCTACCCTTTATTATCTTCTAAGGCAAGCACTACCTCTCCGCCTAGTACAAGGAGGAGAGCCTACCTTAAGACTAGGTAATTGCAGTCTCTAAGAACGGCTAGACGATAAACAAGCTTAGTATTAAGTAGCTAGAGCACTTTAACAGGTATACAAAGGGGAGGGTTGTTAGCAGCTACTGCCTGCTAGTTCTTAACAGTTACAAGAGCTACAGCTTAATTAATTTCTACTAGCTCTGCGAGGAGAAGAAGATTATTACCCTCTGCATGCCTCTACACTCCTCGCACCTACTGCAGCCGCTTAACGTTAGCTGTTTTACGCCGCTAAAGAAGGCGTATAGGTGCTAAGCCGAGAAGCTGATGCGCAACAAGATTACCCACATCACAAAAATAGAGTTCTTACCGTGCTTTATTGCTGCCTACAAGGCCTCTATTACAAGGAGTAATATCCTAGGAGGCTTTTAAGGCGCTAGCTTAGTTCTATTCGATCTAGAGGCTGTTATATTAATGCTCGACGTCCGCCTGCGTACTCCACCGTTACCTACGGTCGAGGACAGTCCCTAGCAGTTACAAACCCTAAGCAATACCGTAGAACTAGGGTCTTAAACGAAGCTAGTTCTCGAGAGGTTTTAGAGGCATATAGATAGCTCGCCTACTTTAATAGTTAAGGCAGTGAAAAGCCTCTCTAAAGGCGCAGAGATAATAGCGCATGCTTTAGTGTTGTCGCAAAAGCGTATCGCTAAGCTTAAAGCAGCTAACAAGGCCGCTACGCGACGTAAATTGTATAAAAGAAAGCGAGTATAGAAGGAGGGGACCCTTGTAGTAGAGGAAGGTCTTCAACTAACAACTCTAAAGGAGTTTAGCGCGCGCAGCAATAGGAAGAAGGCAAAGAAGAAGGCGCGCGTTAAAGTAGGCGAATCGTCTTAAAGACGCTGTGGACGCTGCGGCGAGGTAGGACACAACTCGCGCACATGTAAGCAGGATGCAGAAGTAGATTCTGAGTAGAATAGTGTATTACGATTTCTAATTACTATTGTTAACGGTGCTGTACAGTCGTGTGTAGTCGTGGTTTTGGTGAGGTCTTAGCAAAAGTGCGTCACTCGCTTAGGTGCGTCACTCGCTTGTAAACCACGTTATAGAACAGGATTTTAGTCTTAGATACTAATCTAGCTTAAATGGACATATACTAAAGTAAAGCTAAAACAAATACTAGACTAATTAAAAGTAATAGGCGCTAGATGTAGGGGCAAGACTAAAGACTAAATGCACTTACGCAGTATTAACATACCTCATAAACGATACATTAACCCTATTAACTAAGGCTTCCTACTAGTGCTATACGTGCCTTATCTTTTCTAGCGAGGCTACACTAGACCCGCTATCGCTTTGATTGCCCGACTGCAGACAACTCTCTACATTATTGTAGTTGTAGTTACTATCGTAAGGCGTGCTTTCGACTTGAAGGTGGGTCTCGGTAACGATACATATAGCATTCGACGTAGGTCCAGCTTTGATAATCGAGTCCTGCGATCCCGAAGTGCTGCTTTCGCGGAGTGTATCGAGGTGGTTGTGTTGTTCTCGGATTACACTGCGGCGGCGATTGTCGACGAATCGCGATATGCGGTTTCCCGCACCGCCCACGATTGTGACGGTGCGTGCCGTGCCGGTGGTGGCGTCTTTGGGAATTGACTGCAGGCCCAAGTCGTCGCCGGGTCGAGTTGCATTTGCTGTTACGGCTGTCACATTCCGGTTGTAGGTGTGCTGGCGTACTGACATCTCGTTCGAGACCAGGATGCGCCTTGTCAAGGTATAGAGAAGTGCGTCAATCCAACCGCAAGAGGTGAGAAGTGTGCCAACAACACAGAAGAATGCATCCGGCATCTCTGTTCCTGTCATTACGACCATTCGTCCAATGGCGATGGGGAGAGTTAGGATGACGTATACGGCTGGGTACAGTACCATGAACGTTGTCGCTCGAAAGAGCTTGGTGGTGTCGTTATTCATGATGCTTCGAATTCGGCCTCGGAGATGGACAAAAATGTGGCCGTATACGGCCATGGTGCCGAACTCGAAGATGAAGATCCACAGGTAATGAAGATACAGGCGCTCCTTTTCAAACTCGGCTGAAACCCAACACCAGCCTCCTGCGCGGCCAAAGAAACGATTTCCAAACGTGGCCGGCCCCAGGACCGTCAAGGTCAGTGCGGCCAGCCAAATGAACAGGATTGCAACGACGAACCGCCTGTATGGCATCCTGTAGCCTTTCACTACGCTCATCCAAGTATGTATCGCAATTGCGAGGACGAAGAATCCGCTGGCCACATCCCCAAGGTGCATGAACCATGCTTGTATGAAGCAAGGTGCGGTAAGGGCCACGATTCTATTGAGACGCAACCAATGGAAGGTGATCGAGAAGGCAATCGACTGTAGGAGATCGGCCAGTAGGAGGTTGTAGATGAGGATGACGTATTGATTGTATCCAACATACGCTTTGTAATGTCTGCGCCATGAAATCAATCGATGGGTGATGAATACGAGGAGGGCCGTCACCGATATCAATGATAGCACCGCGCAGAGAGCAACAGGAATAAGGCCCTTCTTGAAGCTTGGAGTTAATGGATCCAGGCTGTTTGGGAAAGGGGAGTAGCGCTTTGTGAGCGTCGCATGGGATTCGAAGATAGCCATGTCGGATGCAGCTCGAGTCCTGTTGAAGTCGAGGAAACAGACCACAGTCTGTACCTTGGTACAAAGGGGACCGAGTTGAGAAGAAACCATGCAAGATTTGAATTTCTCAGAAAGTCATTATGATTCAGAGCGGCCAAGCCCCCTAGTACTCGATTTTATTTATTCTGTTGGGGGAAGAATGCGTGATTGTCGGATAGTGTATCGATGTGTCCGTTCGAAGGGCTATGAGAGCGTCGTAGAAGGTGTGAGTAGCTCAAGGGCGCTCGAAGGAGACGTATATCGAAGACTAAAAAACAATCGCTCGAGAGTGTAGCAAAATGTTTTGAGTAAATTAGAGGAAAGGGAGCAGTGCAATAGGGTAATTTGAACGAACACCAGCACAGCGCTATAATAACGTAAGAACAACCAGTAAGTCTATAAATCTATTGGCCTGGGGTGCGTTATGCAAGTGCGCTATGCTTGACAGTAACTAAGACTACACTACATGCATCTAGGCTAAACGCAAGCTTTGCGTTGGTATATCTTATTCCCGACTCATGCCCGCGGAGATCACCCTTATCCTAGGACCTATTTCAGCTAATTACTTATGGGGTATGTTTGCCATGTGGAAAGATCCAAGGGCTGGTTTCTGTGCCTCATAGGGTGAGCGAGAGTGATGTAGTGGCAGGACGAGCAGTCGTCTGGGGGCTCTCCACCAAGATCCACAGGATGTGCTCCCACTTTCCAACTTAAATACCATGACTCGATCCTCCTCGGCTTGGGCCCCAGCTTTGATACAACCATTCAATTTCCTTTTCTTGACAATGAGATCGTTTCAAGAATCGTTTAGGGAGTCAAGGTGCGATGGTTGCTATGTGGAGGAAACGAGCTATCCAGCCCTAATGAAGTTGTTTAGAGGGGCATGACAAGAAGTCCATCTTGTGTGGCTGGACAAGAACGATTCATACCTCATGTTGTTCTGAGCATGACCATTTTCCTTACTAAAGCTCATGACTCAGCTGGAAGGATTTTCAATACCCCTGTCATGTCATGGCTCAAGCCACTACAACCACCCCAGTGCTTATCAGCAGACTTGAGGACAGACGATATGGACAGGTAAAACTGACTCAACCGATTGCGAAACAGTTTTTCCATCGGTTCGATTCTGAGCATATAAATTTTGCCAGCTGTTCAGTTTCTGATAAAAATTCGACCGAAACGATCGAATGAACAAATTGCCACTGCGAGGCTGGTAGATTTTTGTTCTTCGGCCTTAGCGCGGGGAGTTTGAGCGATCATCGTGAAGGTTGTTGAATTATTGTGATCGGCAAGCGATCTGCGCAGGCAAGCGAAATGCGCACCGTACCGAGATCTTACGCGTCTCTTCGTTCGACCAATACGTCTCAATTACCTAACGCTGAGTCGCTTCCTCGTGAAAACAGAATTGTCTTGCCATCTAAGCGACCAAATCAGCCTCTTCCTCTAGAGTTGCGACGTGCTGCAACTATCTATAGCGCATCCTGCAGCTGGGTTCTTTGCTGTTAAAGCAGGGCACATGGAGATGTCGTCTCGGTATGCCGCCTTGGCAGGTGCTTGAATATCACGTAGCCGTTAAACAGCCTGGTGGGATTACTCGGTACCTGACAACCGCAAGTGGATCATGCGCAGTGCTCAAGCTAAACACGGCACAGCGAACCGTGCCGGAAAAAGGGTGAAAAGTAGCACCTCTCTAGTAGCAAGGGGGAAGTTGGAAATAAGCTGATGGTGGGATGCCCCGCACCCACCCGTCTCAATGTCGATTGTATAGTAATTCTGGCTGTAGAAGTTATTTCTAAAGGTATAAAAGTCGAATTCATTTATTTGCAAGCCTTCTCATCAAGCTTAGCGTTGTTAATATACTTAGCAATGAGGTTTATTTGTTGTCCAGTAAGCTGGCGAGTGGCACTGCGATTGTTGACGACTTCCTACTAGTTGCAGCAGCTTATTTCCAACTTTCCCCTTGGTGCTAGAGCACCTCAGGTGGGCCTGAGTGGAACGTGCTACAGTGTTGAGCGCGCTAAAAGCCAAAGAATTTAATTAGGCATCCCGGCCTGGGGCTAGATCATTCGGCTGCAGCTTGCTCCAAGACTCAGTGCCGCGACTCGTTCGCCTTGAGCAGCTGCACCGTACTGAACTCGAATGCATGATTGATTGGCATGAATGATGGCCACTAGTACCAGCAGCCTTGACATGAGTGTGAGAGCGAACTGGAGGCGGCGCACTGGAGAAGCTGCTCGGCAAGACAGATTGAAAAATAACGGAAGGAAAGATCAAGGGGGCCACGTCAATTGGTGCCCTCCTGACGAAAACTCAGCGTGCAGATATTCAGAGTGCCAACGTGTACAGGCGTGTTCTCACAAGGTCCAGACCTCATCTAAGTTTCCATAGGTAGGAGGAGCGAGCGGTGCACATTGTGGGCGCGGACCGGCACGTTGAGGAGCGGTGCTTTGGTAGCCCTCGTTTGAATGGCGGCGATGACTGCAACAATTGTGTCTTGAGCCACATTAGCTATAGACAAGATGCCCTAAATCCAAGGCCATTGGGTCGCATTTCATGCGGATCTCGAAACAAACTGCTCAATGGAAGAGCATAATGCGCATACGTGGATTTCGTGTTGGCGAGTGTTAGTCACATTGTTGGCTTCACCACTTGTGTCGTTTTGTCTAATTGGCGGCATACCCCAGCCTGCGCTACTGAGCCGCGCGGAGACTGGAGAGATGCAGCCCATGTGGGTCCAGCGAGGCTGGTTGAGGCGCTCCGTCGAGCCTGCAATTGTGGATAATCAGCTCGGTCCATCGCAAGACACGTCTTGGTGCCCTCAGTGGCCATGTCGCGCACTCCGCTCGACCTGGACGGTATTTCCAGCTGCCTCTTTGCGCTCTGCCAGGTCGCTGCCAGTCTCGCCATCAGGTGCCGGTCCTTCGCTTCCCAGCTGGCCCACCGCGCCCAACGCTGGTTCGTCCTCATACATTGACTGCCTCGTCACACCAGTTGCAGTTCGGGCACTACCTTTAGACGTCAACAGCGCCTTCTGCTATGCTCCCAATTCCTACGTAGCCCTCGAGCGCTTCATCTCACAGCAAGAACTGCCGGATTATGAAGTTGGCGTGAAGTCGGTTCATCATCTAAACTTACGTGGCATGGGGATCCTGGCGCAGTACTGTGGCATGCGAAATGGTTGCTCACCATGACTCTGGCAGCTAGTACGGAGCCGGAGTATTCCTCGGTGGTCAAGCCTTCAGGATCTCTGCTGCCAAGGAGACAATCAGTAAAAGTGCGGGTTTATTTAACAGACATAGTATCTCCTCCGCAGTCCCAGCCACATGCTCACTAAGCGACGCTTCCTTCCCCCTAGACATACTAAAGCTCAAGCGCAAGCAAGCTGAAGCAGACGTCGAGAAAGCAAACTTGGAGAACACGCTGCACATACCAATCACCGCAATGAACCAATACCTTAAACGACAGAAGCGTGCCGTCGCCAAAACACATGTACCGTATCAGAAGCACCAGCAACCATTTCGCTGGGGGGGTTCCACCAGCTCAACCGAGGAGATAGCGCAGTACTAGGATGACATCTTCCGGTCTAGCGATTTTGTATCTACCAACGCCCTAGAACGAATCCTCACAACGACTTCGTCGCAACAGCTCACAAGTACCGCAATTATAACCCTATTCGCAAGCAAAGATTTAGACCTTTTTGTGTTTTTAGAGCTAGGTAGCAGAACTATCCTACGGTTTAGAAGCGCTTTTAACCTTAGTTACTTACCTAAGCCTCTACTAATGTACGGGTGTATGAGGTTATGAAGACGTAATCCCTACGAGCTGAGTAGTCACTAGTACGGCAGGTGGTAGAGAAGTTGGCAAGATGTGTAATCTTGTTCTAGTTTTAGGTACAGGAGAGGAGTGTTAAGCTCTAAACAAATACAAGGCAATACATGCAAAAGGGAGTGAGTGAGTGATCGATCGATCCAGGTAGTGTGTGCAGGACAATTAGTAGGAGTGGATAGTGGATAGTAGAGGTCAATAATAATCGATGATACCTCTTATGTTAAGGAGAAGCTGTCCTTCTTGTAGTCCTAATAGTTGAACATTGGATAGAAACGCACTAGGGAACCCTGTGCACCGGCACACTACTATTGCAATAACTCCGCGACGTCGTTATTAAGACTTGACTCATTCGCGAGTGTAAAGGCCGTCTTTCCTTGGGCATCCGTTACACACTTATCAGCTCCTTTCTCTAGCAAGAGTCTTACAACCTCTGTATGACCTTGCTCTGCCGCACACATTAGTGGCGTTCGCCCGAATACGAATTCTTTCGTCTCAAAATCCACGGCCTTTGTTTCGAGTAGTATAACCACGACCTCTTCACGACCTAGTAGAGCAGCCGTTAGCAGTGGTGTGCGGCCTTCGACATCTGATTTAGTGTTGGGGTCAATGCCTTTGTCGAGCAAGTCTCGTACTATCTTCGTGGGTCGCTCTGCAGTCGCTTGCATTAATTGGGCAATTGGCAGCCACCGCTCCTTCATACCCTGGATGGCATTCTGTTGGAGGAGGAACTCGACCGAGGCCACGTTTCCTTTTCTCGCGGCGGATTCAACCAAAGCCGCCAAATTGGCAGGTCGCAGTCCTCTACCCCAGAGGATTCGTAGGACTGTGCATCCGCCTCTCGAATTTTCATCGTCAAGGCACGCGGCATTTTTCCAAGTTTGCTCTGTCGGCGCAAGCGTTTTGAATTTGCCAAGAAAGTAAACTGATGTCTCGCTGTTACCTTCTATAGCCGCAGAATAAGTTGCTTCAGAGGGAACAAAGTCCTTACTGCGTCTCAGGAGCAAGTCTAGTATTTGCTTTGCCGCCAAGGATTCACCTCCAAGAGGATTCTGGAAGCATTCCTCGCTGGGGATGATCTCGAGATCTTTACCAAGCAGAAACTCGAGGATGTCAGGGTAATAATAGAAGAGGCTGCAATTAGATGGTCTTGAGTAACCTTCGGCCGGTCAGACTTGTTCCAGAGCAGCTCAAATTCGGGCTTGTTGACTCGCGCTGCAGCCGCAATCACGAGATCCATATCCACCACAGCGTTTGGGTTTCTCTCGAGAAGAAGGTCGACTGCACACTCGCCTTGACCTGGAATCCAGTTTCTGGCTGCGAAACCGACTAGCTCTTGCGAGATCTGCAGCGCCGGTTGGTGGTCTAGCAGACATCGGAGCATATCTTTATTGCCATACCTCGCTGCGGTACGGAGCACGCTTTCTTTGATGTCCAGAGTCGGATCATGGGCAAAAAGTAGCTTTGTCACACCCACAGCTTGCTCGGATGTTGTGTTGGCTGCTGCACAGAGGAGACTATCCCACGTCACGTCGAGTTCTGGCTTTCGCTTCAAGAGATATTCCATCATTCTTGCGCCATGGTTGCGATTCTTCGCCACACTCTGTAAGATATCTTGTGGAATCTCCATATCCGGGTCTTCTCGGAATATTATATCCAGCATCTTAATGGTGCTATTGGACGCAGCGCTTCGAAGAACTTCCACGGGGATCTGAGGTTCATCGAACATATCTAAGAGCGCTTCAAGTGCTTCCTCAAAACAGTTGGCCGCAGTTGCGGTTAACATATCAGGCGTTGCTCGGAGATCCGGTTCTAGCTCGTGAAGGTAGCGTAAAACGGTAGTACTAGACTACATTGCCGCGTTTCGGAGAACACTCTGCGTGATCTCCATGTCGATGTCCTGATCAAGAAGCCATGCGAAGAGCTTGCCACCCCCCGAAGAAGCGGCATATTCAATCGTATCTTCGGTGATTGATGCCTCACCTCCTCGCTTCAGTAGCTGCTCCAGTAATCCGATCCCCTCCTCTTCGGAAGACCTTGCACTCTCTCGAATCACCTTGAGGATGATCTCCTCTGAGATCTCAACATCATTATTGTGATCCAGAAGCAATTGTGTGATCTTCGCGTCAGGAACAGCGTGAAACAATGGCGTATGGCCGTAGACATCTTTGCCGTCCAAATCTTCTCCTTTACTTAGAAGCAGTTGGACTACCTCAACATTGCGATATGAGCATGCAAGATGAAGTGACCGAAGTCCGTTCTCATTGTGCATTATTCGCGGGGGCGGAATCCCATTTTCAATAACTTCAGGTATGCCAAAGACACAGGCGACAAACCATGGATTTAGAGGCTCGCACAAACAATCATCAAGAGCGTTGCGAAGATCCCAGTAGAATTCTGTCTGCGCAGACCCCGACCACTGAATATCGCGACTCAGACTTGGAGCATCTTTCATCCAGCTGGCAAAGGTTGGATTTGCACGACGTCGGAGTAGAAACGACGTGATCAGTGCTGAAATCTCAGATGATTGGCGTAAATTGCCAGCGCGCTGTATATGGAGTGGCCAGAATAATGCGGCATAGTCGTGTAGATTATGTTTTCCTTCACTCAGGGGATCAAAGTTCTTTGGGACTGTCGAAACTGTACCGCGAATAGATCTACCCACCAGCTTTAGTTTGGTCAAGTATGACAGGCAGATCTGAGCAGCGACCGCATTAATGTCTAGAACAGCATAGTCCGGTCTCTCCTCGAGGTATTCACGAACGGACTGATGGGAAAATCGAAAAATCCCCAGCTCTTTGTCCTCGACAACGAGGTTGCAACAGAGTGTTCCGAGTGCACCAGCATCCAATCTGGGTTCTTTCGGTAGAGAGATGGCGGCGAGAAACGAAGTCGTCGACAATGGCTGTAAACAGCAAGTGAGAAGCTTTAAAGCTCTTTCAGCCAAAGCTTTGCTCTCTGAGCCGGAATGGTTGATCTGCTCGTAAATCTTTCCATAGACAGCTGCGAGTCCCTCTAGCGGCTCGGAAAGCGCGTTGAGTACATCCTCTTCGGTGTTAAGGCCCGGGCTAGTGATTCTTTGTAGCTGAAGGGAAACCCAACGAAACATTCCTTGTGCACCATCAGTCAGGATCTGAATGACTTTGTCCTTCAAGTCCGGGCTGACATTCCCGGAAAATAGTTGGGTCAATTTCGGGCTCTTCTCAACTTCCGACCTTACAAAGGATCTGACATCGCCGGAATTCTGTCCAATTAGTATGTCTTGATGCGGATCGGTTTTCAGCCACTCTGACATCGCTTTGTCGTCTCGGCTTGTCAAGAAGAGCCGGACCCGCTCATGTCTCCCCATAATCGTTCCAAAGTGCCCCAAAAGTGCTGGAATGTCGTTGCATTCATCCAATGCATCGATTATAACCGTTAAGGATGCCAAATCTGCCGCAAGCTCTGCGATCAGGTTGAGGGTATCATCAACCCCAAGGTCACGGGCCTGAGTTCCGCCAAGAGTTAAGGCTTCATATCGCTCCACGGCGTCAGTTCGGATCGTTGAACTGGGTTGATAATAGGCAAGCTGACGTGCCAGGCACCTGAGGATCTGGCCAGGCTCAGCGCGCTCTGGCTCAGCCGTATCCCGGGTACAATAGAAGTATACGAGGGCATCAACGGAAGGCTCAATCGACTTGCTAACATGATCGACGACTAATGATGTAAGCTTTGTCTTGCCTGCACAAGGGATTCCATGCAGTCAGAGTACTGGATGCAGCTCAATACTATCCCACTGTCCAAATGCGTCCTTGTTGAGGAGCCATTGCCCAGTTCCTGTGAGCCGACCGTCTCTTGCGCGATCATGATGGCTTGCAAAAGGGATTGGGGATATCCATTTCAGGATATTGATTTGCTCGCTTGCTCTGACGTGATCGTTGATCTCAGAGACGTCGGTAGCGATATTTTCGAGCGGAACCTTCCAATTTTCCAGCTTCTGCGCGAGGTCCTGGTGGCTTTTGCTCATCGACAGTGCATTCTCATCCGAGTCTTGCTTATCAATCACGCGTGCGTTTTGCTCGATGTGAGCGCGTTCGCTGTCAACGGACGATATCATTGCATCAACTCCACCTAAGTGTATATTTGGTCTGTTTCGTAAATCAATAACGAATATCATCAGCCTACCTTCGTTCAAGATGGCTTTGGCGAAGCGAGTGATGGTGTGCTCGCCGTAGTAGCCTTTGCCTCAGCCAGGAACCTAAAAAGCTTTGCGTAAGTTTTGACGAGGATGTCGGCTAGTTGGTCTCTTGCTTCCGAGCTGCGGGTTAAGTAGACCACTTCAAAGAGTGTGTAGAAATGAATCTCACGCGCGACAGATTCCATACCAATTAACATCGAGCCATATTTTTTGAAATCTTTGCCAGCGATCTACACAGGTCGTTAGCGACATCACATAGGAAGGATCGATATCTTCCTCACTCCAACAAAAAACTTGACGCAGGCCCATGGCATGCTCGCATGCCCCGAAGCATCCAGGCTTACAATACAATCCGCCACATTCTGATAGGTCTTGATCCACTTCGTGATTTTATCTAGCACGTCCCTCACGACCACCTTCTTGTCTCGAAAAAGGAAACTCCATCGCTTGTCCTGACATTTTGTTTTCAGAGCTTCCACTTCCTGAAGTACTGTTAGTGCCGGCTTGGGGGAATCAGTGGTAGCTGGACTGGTAGTAAGTGACGGTGAAGGAATGGAGATAAGTCTTCGGTCATCTTCCGGCAGAGTCTCCAGAGCTTCCGCCCAGAGATCGCGAGTGAGCTTGTACCGTTCGTGAGTAGAGTCTGCCATTCCTAATGCTATTGTTGAAGGATAGAAAAATAAGAAACAAGTGGGGGGTTCGACTCTGGATTTATTAAGCCAGCTGAATTGAGCGTCTCAGCCGCACGCAAGGATATGGGGTCTGCTGACGTAAAAGTGACCAATGCCCGATGTGCATCCCGCATCGCACCGCAAAGAATGCGCAGCAATTGCAAATTGATAAGAAGAAGATGACAGTGCGCCATGCGTATGGAGCTAGGTCGTCAAAGACTCGAGGTTGCGGAGCAGGCATTCCGCAGACAGTTTGACTGTGTAGGTTGTGCTAGACTTGCACCAGATGCAGAGGGGGCGGGGTCAGGGAAAAGAACCTCTCGACTGCGCTTAACCTAGATCCAAAGATGCTAATTTGTGTGACTGAAAACGGGTATAGCAACGACCGATAGCGCTGGTACATATTGGGCACTTCGAAAATATAAGTCCCAACCAGCTTATTGGAACAACTCCGGTAATATTCCTCCTAAAAGTTCACTTTCTGAAGAGACTGTTGCTTTTGCTAATCATAGTGAGTTTATAAAGATCTATTGGTTGATACTATTTTGAACTGACTTGCAGCGGGACTTAAGAGTTTTACAGTAGCCATGGGTCAAAAGGATCGGGTGCACATTGAGGCTCTTCATGATTGAGTTTGGGTTAAAGCCTGGGCAATACGGTGATAGACTATGGTGTTTTACGGGGGCAACTGCAGCCGCAACACAGCCCACCAACACCTTGCTTTAGATGACTTCAAGGGATTCTAGCGTCTCGGCTAGAAGAAAATACAGTGGACTTTGGCGAGTCAATAAAACGGTGCATCGTCATCGCGGTAGGGGTGGGCAATAATACATATATCTGATACTTTGCCTAAAGCGGACACGGCCTATTATTTCTCCGATGAGATGGTAGACGTTAAAGAAATCGTCCTCACGCTAGTAGTCTCGTACTCGTGCTTCGTGGTAGATGCCCGTCTGAATTACTATTGCAAAATAACCGTAGAATTGATTGTGCGTTACTGGGCTCTATCGCCGGGCGTCCTGAGCCGAGGCTGAGGTTGAAGCCGAGCATTCTAATTCGCGTACGCAACAATCTTATCAATAGTATTTCTATCCTAGAAAAATTTGAAAAGCTTAATTGGGCTAGCGTTCGATAGATGGGGAGGCAGGCAAGGCTTGCCGTGGGGCTCGTTATCGACGTACAGCGGCTCCTGTGGAGGGAGGGGGGCCTTAGGCGGATAGGGCTGTTTCTGAGTATTTCTTCGAGCTTGAGAGGCTAGTTGCCCTTTGTAACTAGGTAGTTATCAGGACGACCGTAAGGAGGTATCTTATTAGCAAAATAAAGCGTGGTGGTCATGTGAGGTTGGTGGTTTGGCCCGGTTCTGGTCCCGCCTTTGAAATCGCTTGGTATCTACCCCGCTAACCTTTACGTTGTAGCGAAACATCTCTGCCTGGTCTTTCCGTTTTATCTCTAAAGATTAGACCGTTACTTGTGCTACATGCACGAGAAATAGGTTTAGTTATAAACCTGCTCGCTAAGTAGTGTTAACTATGTCACAAACCGCACTAGCGCCTACCGCGGCGTTTATTAAGTTATTTAATCGCGTTAAATTACACTACCTAAGTGTTTAAATTGTTTCTCTATAGTACCTATATACCTAGGTATATTTTATCTAGCTAAAGTGTAAGGGGCTACGCTTAGGGAGCTATCGCACAGGTATACTAGAGTTGTATTTAATAGAGAAGAGAACTACAGGTAGCTAGGGTTCTAAAGGTCGTTTAGGGGGCGGCAGCTCGGGATAACCTTCTGCTGGGCTCGCTTACGCAGAATCTGGGTGCTCAGGGGGGGCACCCGGAATCTGTGCACAGTGCGCCTCGCGCACGTAACTAAGATATTATCGAGGACTTACTAACTAGGCTCTAGCCTATTACATTACCCCCCTCCTCCCCTCCTTTTTAGGGGGTATCTCGTCGAAACCCTTCTAGTAGGCGTCCTTCTTCGTCTTAATATTCTCTCGTATATTCTTCCTATTAGTCTAGGGCTTCTGTATTCTCTAGGATTTCTACTAGTTTAAGGGTCGTCTAGTAGTATCCTTTCTACTTAACGTTAAAGTACAGTTTCTATCTACGTCTACGGCGTCGCAGTTACTCTTCTAAGATCTCCTCTACTACTTACTCGTCCTTACTGTTAATCTGTAGCAGTAGTAGCTAGTAGTTGTCCTAAACCTAGCTAGGCAGTAGGTCGGAGTTTGCTAGGCGTAATCTGTCGACATAGAAAACAGGGTAATAGCCTCTTAGGGTGTCTAGCTTAACTAAATAGCTATTAATTACTTTAATTACTGTGTATTTAGCGCTTTTCTAGTCTAATTTTCGTAACAGACGGCCTGTTTAGTATTACTTGTCGAGTTTTAGCTAAACCTTATCGCTAACCTTATAATTCCTTGCTTCCTTCTAGTGCCTATTAGTCTGCTTTTCTTGTTTAGCTTGCGCTGCAGCTATACTCGCTTGTGCTAGCTTAAACATGTCTTAGAATTTAGCTACGATGGCCTTAGCCTTGTTACAGTCTAAACGTTCTTTAGTAGTGTACCTTTTCTTTTTAGCTCCTAGCGGGGTGTCTAGCTAGAGAGGATCTACGTTGTACTTATGTTAGAGGAAGAACGGGGCGATGTAAGGGGCTACGCTTAGGGAGCTATCGCACAGGTATACTAGAGTTGTATTCGATAGAGAAGAGAACTACAGGTAGCTAGGGTTCTAAAGGTCGTTTAGGGGGCGGCAGCTTAGGATAACCTTCTGCCGGGCTCGCTTGCACAGAATCCGGGTGCTTAGGAGGGTACCCGGAATCTGTAGACAGTGCGCCTCGCGCACGTGACCAAGATATTATCAAGGACTTACCTACTAGGCTCTAGCCTATTACACTGTGTAGCAGAAGGAGACGAATAGAAAACAGCCTTCTAAACGCGCTTTAGTCTCTTTAAGTAGTTAGTAACTCCGTTTAGCATAGCTAATTCCCTAAGTACCTTTTAACAGTATATTAACTAGACATTAAGGGAACACCTTAACAATTTCTGCTCGGCTTACCTTAACGACGTGTTAATCTACATAGATAGTAACTTGTAACAACACTAAGATTACGTCTAAAAAGTCCTTAGCAAGCTATAGGACGCAGGCCTCTACGTAGATATTAAGAAATGCGAGTTTAAGGTAAAGTCTACTAAGTACCTTAGTTTTATTATTAACGTAGGGAAGAGCATTAAGATAGATCTAGATAAGGTTAAAGCTATTAAGGACTAGGAGGCACCTAAGACCGTAAAAGGAGTACGGTCGTTCCTTAGGTTTGCGAACTTCTACTAACGTGGTTTACAAGCGAGTAACGCACCCAAGCGAGTAACGCACTTTTGCCAAGACCTCACCAAAACCACGACTACACACGACTGTACAGCACCGTTAACAATAGTAATTAGAAATCGTAATACACTATTCTACTCAGAATCTACTTCTGCATCCTACTTACATGTGCGCGAGTTGTGTCCTACCTCGCCGCAGCGTCCACAGCGTCTTTAAGACGATTCGCCTACTTCAACGCGCGCCTTCTTCTTTGCCTTCTTCCTATCGCTGCGCGCGCCAAACTCCTTTAGAGTCGTTAGTCAAAGACCTTCCTCTACTACAAGGGTCCCCTCCTTCTGTACTCGCTTTCTTTTATACAATTTACGTCGCGTAGCAGCCTCGTTAGCTGCTTCAAGCTTAGCGATACGCTTTTGCGACAACACTAAAGCATGCGCCATCATCTCTGCGCCTTTAGAGAGGCTTTTCACCGCCTTAACCATTAAAGTAGGCGAGCTATCTACATGCCTCTAAAACCTCTCGAGAACTAGCTTCGTTTAAGACCCTAGTTCTACGGTATTGCTTGGGGTTTGCGACTGCTAGGGACCGTCCTCAACCGTGGGTAACAGTAGAGTACGCAGGCGGACGTCGAGCATCGATATAACAGCCTCTAGATCGAATAGAACTAAGCTAGCGCCTCGAAAGCCTCCTAGGATATTACTCCTTATAATAGAGGCCTTGTAGGCAGCAATAAAGCACGGTAAGAACTCTATTTTCGTAATGTAGGTGATCTTGTTGCGCATCAGCTTCTCGGCTTGGCACCCATACGCCTTCTTTAGCAGCGCAAAACAGCCAACGTTAAGCGGCTGCAGTAGGTGCGAGGAGTGTAGAGGCATGCAGAGGGTGATAATCTTCTTCTCCTCGCAGAGCTAGTGGAAATCGATCGAGC